CTGGAATGCTCCGGAGCGATCTATGGGACGCGCAGAGACGTGCTAGTACTATGTGTTCTCCTTGGAGGCTCGCGTCCGGCCTGAGCATATGGTGTGCCCATCTTGTGGTATATCGTTTCCCCAGCGGTGTGGCCAGAAAGCGCCCGCCACGACGTATGTACTATAAGATTTCTCGGTGCGCGCGTCGCCCCTGGGGGGACGACGCATATGTAGTATAAGTATGTTGGGGTGACGCCGATGTGTGTTGTGTAAAGACAGTGGATCGAGCAAGGGCGAGGGAGGAAGACCGTCGAGGGAACCAATTTGCAGCACTCCTCCCTCCCCGGCAGTTCAAAGTCGGCATTTGTTTCGCATCCCTGGTCCGACATTTAAGCTCGGAAGATCCGAACCCACCTTTGCTTTCGTGGGGAGGGGGGGAGGTCAAACCATATGTTACGCGTGAGTGTTGCTTACATGTTTCCGACGCCTGTATCAGAGCGGGCGGAGCGCGGTCGTCACGCACCTTTCTGGCCCAGGCAAGAGAGCTTTCGGGCGGCGGGATTGCGGTACGTTCGCGGGCAATCGGAGCTGGGCGAAAAAAGGGAAGAAGCTTTGCGCCTCTCTCCATGCGGGTGATGTACTCTCTCTCTCTCTCTCTCTCTCTGCGGTGCAACGACAGGGCCGAGCCGACGGGGGACCCCGTGGGCCCTGGTGATCTGGATGAGAGCTGCGCAGACACCACAACGCTGTGGCCTCGAGAAAAGAGGGTTCTAGGAAATACGGCCCTTGAGTAGGTGAGGAATATTGGTACTAGACTGTTACAAAAAGAAGAATTCGCCGGCCCAACGGGCCAGAGGCGTGCTAAGATCTCCGGTAACTGGTTAAGAATTCTCTAGTTCGCGCGCGCGGGGCGGCCCCTGGGGGTCCCCGGACGAAAAGTACCCCGGCAAGGTCCTGAGAGAGTCCCGAGAGGAGTCCCCCAGAGCGCTCCAGGAGCGCTCCATGAGCGCACCAACAGGGCTCCGAGACGTCCCCGAGAGCCCCAAGAAAGGCCAAGAGGCCCCCAAGAGGCCCCCAAGATGGTACACGAGGGGTCCGACATGCCACAAGATCGCTCCAAGACGCCCAAGATAGCCCCCAGACGCCCCAAGAGGCCTCCCAGAGCACTCCCAAGAGGGCCCCCGGAGGCAAAATTCATTGTTTTTCCTTAGGTTTTTGAGAGATTTTGGAGCTTCCACCTTTTCGGTTCCCGACGCCCCAAGACGGCCCCAGAGGCCCCCAAGATCGCCCCAAGAGGGCCCAAGAGGCCCCCAAGAGGGCCCCAAGATGGCCCAAGAGGGCTCGAAGACGGCCCAAGAAGCCTCCAAGACGGTCCAAGAGGGCCCCAAGAACACCCCCAAAGGGGCCCCAGAGAGGGAACACGAAACAAAATTTCGAGCCCTCGGCCCTAAGAAGCCCCTACGAGGCCCCAAGAGGCCCCTAAGAGGCCCCAAAAGGCCCCCACGAGGCCCTCAGGAGGCCCCCAAGAGTCCCCCAAGCGGCCCCAGGAGGCCCCTCAAATGCCCCCCCGAGCGCCCCAGGAGTCCCCCAAGCGGCCCCAGGAACCCCCAAAGCGCCGCATTGACACCAGGCCCTCGGGCAAACGGCAGACATGAGACCGTATGGGCCGGCGGAATGAGCGAAGCGATTCAATAATAAGACTAATGCTAATCATCGTGCTAATCGCCATGAGCATCAACTTTTGGCGCTCCGCGCGGATTTCTGGGATCTGCGTTGGACCCCCCTCCCTGGCGCGCGGAGCGCGCCAGGTGCGGCACCGCGGAGGCCCTTGGAGGAGGAGAGGGAAGAGGCGGAGCGCTCGAGCATTGCTTCCGTGCCAGCGGTCGGTGGCTATTCCAAGCCGATCGGTCCTGTTTGCTCTGCCCGTGCCGCTGCCGCTCTCGGATACAGCACGGGCCAGGTCCCCGAGGCAGGGATGGATGATAGACGAGCGGTGCGGGAGCCCAGCGCGGAGGAGGAGGAGGATGAGGAGGAGGAGGAACATTTGAGGAGGAGGAGGAGGATGAGGATTTGAGGAGGAGGGATGAGGAGGGTTGAGGAGGAGGAGGAGGAGGAGGAGGAGGAGGAGGAGGAGGGACGAAGAGGAACAGGAGGAGAAACAGAAGGAGGAAGAGGAGGAGGAGGCGGAGGAGGAGGAGGAGGAGGAGGAGCAGGTGTTCGGCCTGAAGTGCCGTTCGGACCAGCATATCGTATGGCCGCAGGGTTGGCGGCGGCTGAGGCGTGGATTTGGACGCCCCAGTCCTGCCGAGACCCGACGTTCGGTACCACTCCCCCCACTCCCCCCAAGACTTGGCATCGCTCGGACGTGCGCCTTTCTTCTCGGCGAGGGCCGTCGAGGAGCATTCAGGGGCATCCCACGGTAATTGAAAGCACGAAGCCGAAAAGTGCGCGGGGAATGCACGTCCGAGCGATGGCAAGCAGACGCTCGCTCACCCGTGCGGGGAACGCAGCTCCCACTCGGCGCGGCCGCGGGCCACGGGCCACCGACTTCGAGCGGCGCATCGGGCACTCACCAGGGGGAGGCGCGCGAGGGGGCCGCGGGCTACGGGCCACCGCAGCATCGGGGGGGGCACCCAGGGCCGCCGGGCTGGCCGTGGGCTGGCGGAGGGCACGCCGGGAGGCCGCGAGGAGGCCAGGGGCCACTAGGCCGGGCGTGCGGCAGCGGCGGAGGCTCGGCGGCGAGCGGGGGGGCAGGTGATTGGAGGCCTGGAAATGGGCACCAGCACCAACACACAGGCATGCCTCAACTAGGGGAAGATGACCCTAGAATTGGGTGTTGGTGGTAATATTTCGGCCACCTAGGAAGCCAACAAATTACCACCATCACCGAGATCGGGAGCACCTTCCCTCGGTGGAGGCACACCGCCGATCTTATTGGTGCAGGTGTCAACCCCTAGGCCTCCCAGGTGAGAATGCGGCGGGACTTCTCAGAAGCCTCGAACCCTCCGAGGAGTTTTTCCCGTGTCTTCGGGGGAGGCAGTGGGCAGCTTCTCAGGAGGCTCGGGAGGCCTCCGAGCCTTCTGGGAAGGCCCGCCCCTTCTCGCCTTCTCTGGGGGCGCCGCCGAGTGGCGCAAGCGAGCTTGGCGAGCGCAGGGTTGCCGAAGCCGAGGCGCCGCGCTCACCGCTGGGGGGGGTGGGGGGGGGGCCGGGGGGAGGGGGCCACGAGAGGGCCGCGGGGCCCGCGGGCGGCCGACGTCGAAGCCGGGCACCCACCGTGGGGGGGCCTCGCGGGCGGCCGTGGGCGGCGGGCCAGCGCAGCCAGGGCGCGGGCCGCCCTGCGGGGCACTCGCACCGGGCACGGGGGGGCCGTTGGGGAGCCACGGGCCCCGCGCGGGGTTGGGCTCCGGGGAGCAGCCGGCGGCCCCGTGTCGGCGACCGCGCCGCGGCCGAGGAGGGCGTCGGCGCGGCAGCGTCGGGGGTGCCCTGGCCCTCGGAGTCCTCCCTGGCCCGCTGTGCCGCGCGCCCTCCCTGGCCTGCTCGCGCCACGGTGCCCGTCGATGAGCCTCCCGTCCGCCCTGGCGTCCTCCGGCGTGATATTTTTTTCACTCCGCGGCCCCAGGGCTCCCGACCCCTTCCCCGGGGGTAGTTGTGCGTCCCAGATCCGTTTTGATGGCCCCGGGGCCCGAAACCCCCCCGAGGGTTGGGCGTTGCGTAATGGGGGGGTCATAAATGGGGGGTTGGTGAGGGTGGTCCGAAAAGGTACCCAAACGGTACCTAAACGAGCCCCCTGGGGGTCCAGAGGGGCCCGAAAGGGGCACGAAAGGGGACCGTTTCTGACCCCCCCATTGATGACCCCCCCATTAAGCCACGCCCAAGAGGGCCGAAACCGAGTAACATCCGCCAGGCCAGTTGGGGAAATCTCAGATCATCCGAGATCTGCCTGGAGGCGACGAGAAAGGGCGAATGGCCCGGGGGCGGGCATCACTGGCATCCCTCCAGGAGCCTCGCCGAATTCGTGGACCATCGGCGCCCCTGGATGCATTTGTTGCTCCGCCTTGGCTATCCGCCCCCGTCGCCGCCTCCGATGCGGGCTCTCGGGCGTCGATGTTTTTCGGGTCAAAACTCGGCGGCTCCTAGGCGCCCGTGCGGGACAATCCCGGCACCCCCGGGAACGCTCGCGGCGAGGCGCAGCTGCTGGAAGGCATCCCGGCTGACAAACCGCCGAGCGCCGACGAAGACGTCCGAAAACCGACGATCCCGGCGCACCCCCAGAACTCAGGAAGGGGAAAAACACACAGACACAATGAATCGTCGATTCCCAGAAAATATGGGAAAATATGGAATTGGGCGGGAAGACAACAACCCAGAAAGTATGGGAAAATATGGGGGATATTTTTATTTGTGTGTACTTATTTGTGTGTCCCAGGGCCCCTTCAAGAACGCCCGCGGCGAGGCGCAGCTGCTGGAAGGCACCCCGAGGCTGGAAGACCGCCGAGCGCCGACGAGGACGTCCGAGAACCTCCCCGTGGCGCCGCTCGCCGACGGCGACCGCTTGCCGACCGCTCCTCCCCAGCCCGCTGGCCGCTCTCCACCAAGCTTGTTCAGGGGGGGAAAAAACGCAGACACAATTAATCGTCGATTCCCCAGAAAATATGGGAAAATATGGGAAGTGGGGGGGAAGACAGAAACCCAGAAGATATCGGAAACTATGGGGAATCCTGTTATTTGTGTGTATTCATTTTGCGTGTCCTGGGGCCCCTTCTTGGTGGTCCCCAAACGTGGTGGTGAGAACACCCGGTGGTGAGTTTTGGGCGATTTGGGTAATGGTTTTCGAGCGCTGGCTGGCCAAGGAAACGCAGAACCTCGTGGCGACCGCGTGTCCCCAAACCCAGTGGCGACCCAGAATTATTTTTTGGGGGAATCGGGGTCACCACCGGGTGTCTCAGAATCGGGGTCACCACCGGGTGTCTCACCACCTGGTTTGGAGACCACCAGCCTTCGCTTGTCGCCGCCGTGCCGCCAGCGCGGGGGGGGGGTTCGTCCGGCGGCCGCGCCGCACTCCCGGGGACGGCGCGCATGGCGGCCAGGGACCGCGCCGCCGAGCGGTGCGGAGGAGGCGGTGGAGGAGCAGGATCTTGAGGAGGATCTGAGGAGGAGGACGACGACGAATAATACGAACAGTAGTAACACGCATATGAAGAATAATAACACTAAACATGACACTATATCGCCGAGTAATAGTACATGACACTATAATAGTAATAATAGCACGAGTAATAGCGTAATACGACCAATATCGAGGGCGGAAAAGAGGGGGGTGATGTTAGGGGGGGGGGATATCATGGCGGCGGCCATGATATTTCCCCAGATCTTATGGCGCCTCTTCTTAGTTCATTACGTCCCTGGCCCCCCCGCTGGGCCGCGCACATGCCGCCGGTCATGATTTGCACCCCCCCTCTTGGACACCCCCTTCTTGGCCGTTCCCGATAATAATACGAACAGTAGTAACACGCATATTATGAATGATAGCACCAAACATGACACTAACAGTGATAATGTTTAAACAATAACCTTAATACGAATCTAGCAGCAAGCGTACATTCGTCAAACAAGAGTATGACTAATACTACCATGACGAATAATAGCGCTAATTAGAAAACGGCCACAGCAGAACTACTGCTAGTAGTCCGAATGATGATGGTACGGATGAGACGAAGAACAAGTCCAATCACAATAGTTGTCGTAATAATATCACTAGTAACTCGGATGATGATAATAATGAGGCGAATGCGAAGACGAATGCTATTGAAATGTACAATGCTAATAATAGTATGGCACATCAGAATATCATTATTACGGCAAAATCACAGAAGACGACACATACCAAAACGACAACTATTGGCATGAATAATACGAGTACGAATTCAATGGCTCATAATAATATACAAAAGGCTGAGAATGGTACCAAGCACACGAATAGAACTATATGAATACTAATAACCCGTTCAATTAAGACAAGTAATCGTACTAATACTAATTGTAATACCACTAACGTATTAATGTTGCTAACACTCAGAATCATTCAATGCGATTACTGCACTTACTGATCGTGATACTATAAACTAGCAGCAATAATACTAATAACAATGACACTAATAATCCGAATAATAAAACTAATAAGCCTACCACTAATGATGACACTGGTGCTACTACTAATGTTAATACTCACAATAACAGTAAGGGGATGATCAGGTAAATGATGATAGGGACTTGATTGGTTTAGGAGGAGGAAGCGGAGGTGGAAAGTGATGATGATCATGACGATAATGACGATGTTGCTGTTGGTGATGATGCTGCTGATGCTAATGATGATGATGATGATGATGATGATGATGATGATGATGATAATGATTATTCGGATGATGATGGTGATGCTGATGCTGTTGTTGATGATGATGGTGATGCTGATGTTGGTGATGCTGATGCTTATGATGATGCTACTGCTGATGACGATGGTGATGATGATGGTCATGATGATGGTGATGATGATGAGGATGAGGATGAGGATGATGATGAGGATGATGATGCTGATGATGATCATGTTGATGATGATGATGCTGCTGCTTCGCTGCTGCTGCTGCTGATGATGATGATGATGATGATGTTGATGATGATGATGATGATGATGATGATGATGATGATGATGATCATGATGATGATGCTGATGATGATGATGATGATGATGATGATGATGATGATGATGATGATGATGATGATGATGATGATGATGATGATGATTATGATGTGGAGGAGGGGGAGGAGGAAAACGACGAAGACGAGTTGGAGGAGGAACATGTGTTGAGGATCTGAGGATATGGAGGAGGATGTGGAGGAGGAGGAGCTCGGAGGAAGAGGAGGAGGAGGAGGAGGAGGAGGAGGAGGGAGGAGAGGATGGAGGAGGGGATTTGATGAGGAGGAAGAGGGGAGGAGACGAGGAGGAGGAGGACGAGGAGAGGAGGAGGAGGAGAGGAGGAGGAGGAGGAGGAGGAGGAGGAGGAGGGGAGGAGGAGGAGGAGGAGAGGAGGGGGAGGAGGAGGAGGAGGAGGAGGAGGAGGAGAGGAGGAGGAGGAGGAGGAGGAGGAGGAGGGGGGGAGGAGGAGGAGGAGGATTTGAGGAGGAGTCGGGAGCAGGCTGCGCGGCGGGGAAGTGACATGTGCCCGCGCCGCGAAGCTGCACTCGGCGGCGCCGGGCGCTCGCGGGAGCCAGCTGGCCCGCGCGTGTGCCCACGGCCACCGGCGACGAGGGAACCGACGGACCCGAGAGGGCACGCTGCCCGAGGAGGAAGCCAGGACCAAACAGCACGCCGCCAGATACGGACGACGGCGGCCCACGAGGGCCCCGCCCACCCGAGACGACAGGGTGGGGCAGGCGGCCCAGGAGGGCCCCGCCCCACCCCACGCCCGCACTAGGGAACCAAGGAGGGGTCCCCGAATTGCACCAAAAACGATGGATCCGAGAAAACGACAGATTTTCGAGCCGCGTTCAGCAGGACTGGATCTGATTTGGATTTGGGAGGAGGAGGAGGAGGAGAAGGAGGAGGAGGAGGAGGAGGAGGAGGAGGAGGAGGAGGAGGAGGAGGAGGAGGAGGAGGAGGAGGAGGAGGAGGAGGAGGAGGAGGGGGAGGCGGAGGAGGGGGAGCATGAGGAGGAGGAAAAGGAGGATGTCGGGAGGTTTTGGAAAGGATTTGAGGAGGAGGAGGAGGATGGAGGAGGAGGTGTTGAAACATGCTGCGGCAACGGGGGAAGCAGGTAGCACGGAGTTGAGGTCGGACGGTTGTTGTTGCCATCGCCGTTGGCTCAATTTTTTAACGTTTGGAAGTTTGGCTCATCCGAGCGTAAGGTGAAACAAGCGCGCGGTATTACGCTGAATATTTGTTGATATGTTGCATTGTAGCGGAGCGTCGGTTGCAATGACAGGAATTGGATCAGTTGCCTTAACCCCAGGCTCGCAGGACCAATTCCTTGCACCCACGGATCGAGAGGCTTCCACTAACTGGATGCCCAGAGATTCAGTTTGTGTCGTCAATGGTCGATGGACGCTTTGGTTATGCGAAACGTCGCTGCGTGCCACACGTGAACGAATCATCGTGTTCATGAGCGACCGTACCGCCACGGACAACAAGGAAGTTACCCCGCAGGAAGCCTTCGATATGCTCCAGATGCAGCAAAAAATGAAAGCCGTGCTGATGAGTGTTGAGAAATAGACCAAATGAGTGGTGTGAGAGAGAAGCGCGCAATCTTGACCAACAGGTCGAGATCATGGCGGCGAGCACGAACGCGCATGGTGACATGTTGAGGGGGATCTCCAAGTTCAGCGATAGCTGTAACAAGGGCGGAGGAAAAAGAGGAGGCGTCAACAGTAAGCTTATCAGCGAGTTCAAGGCCCTACGGAACCTCAAAGCCTTGACTGGCGACAGAACTAAATCCAGAGAGTGGGCCGACAAGTTGCTCAATGCCCTGGCACAAGTGCGGCTTAATTTCCGTGGAGCAGTTAAGTCCTCCAACAAGAAAATGGAAGCAATGGACGGAGTCATCCTTGAGGAAGAGTCAGGGGATTGGCTGCGAATTCATAATGGGTGATCCACGTACTTCGAGTACCAGAACGCCAACACGGCCAGGCAGCAGCAGCATGATGACGAAGGGGAGTTTGAGCTCACCGACGAGGACATGAACAAACGCGATGGGGATATCTGGTGCGGCCTTAGCGAAGAACTCGAGGGATCCGACGCACGTGGCAAGCTCAAGAGGTTAACGCACGGAGATCGACTTGCCGCGTATCAGGAGATCTACAAGTATTCCTCGGCAGTCACAGAAGTTACGCTGGCGCAGAATCTGTTCCAGGCAATGACTCCCGAACAACCCAAGCGAGTTAGATAAGTGTCTGGCAAACTAGAACGGAGTGTTGTGGCGAAAGTGTTGGAAAACATGGAGTGCGCGCGCATTGCCCCTGCCCTTCAGGGTTGCGGCCCTCCGCGCGATCATGAACCATGCAATCGTCCGGTTCGATGAATGGCAACAGGTGTTTTGAGTCTGATGGCTTTAACGCGCCCACTCACCAGCAAACTCTCAAGGATGGGTTGGCGACGGCGGTAACTGGCGGCCCGACGGCGGTCACTGGCAGAGTGAGACTGAGCGTGAAAGAGACTATGTGAACGCAGTTGCAAAAGGCGAACGAAACAAGTACCAAATCATAGGATTGCGGCGGATTTGGGCACCTAGCCAAGGATTGTCGGAAACCCAAGAATTACAAAGACTGAGGGGAAAGAAGGAGATGGTGCAACAGGCAGGGGAAGTTACCGAGCCTCTCGGCGCAACTACATTAAGGACATGCGGCGGCAAGGTCAAAACCGAGGACAAATCAATCGCGGTGGCAAAAGGCTTGTTCGTCATGTAGGTCGTGAGTGTCACGAATGTGGAGACGACGGGCACGTTTTCGTTGTCTGCCCGAAGTCGATCAACGAAGTGGAGCAGAGTAACCGTGGGGGCGCAAAGCCCGCCGTGCCCAGGCAACTGCGATAGCGCGCGCTCGTGGGATTCACGAGCGAGGGCGATCGAATGGAAACAATGGTTACCTCCGCCAAACCGCCGACCATTACTGAACCGCCTGGGGACAGGGAAAACAGAGGCATGGAGGAAAAATGATCAGCAGGATTGAAGCCCTGAACACGCGGAAACGCCACCAACTGCATCAAAGCGAGCACGGCTGCGACCATGAATACCACGTGATTATCCGCAGTTTCCAGCTTGGCAGCCCTCGTCGGTTACCGCAAGGTTCGATATGGTGGGCTCGTGAAAGACCGAAGCAATGTGCAGGAGGTCAACGCGGTGCCGCAGAGTGACGAAAAGACCGAGACGGTCATCGTCGCCGTGGACTCCGGCGCACATTAAACAGTTGGACCCCCTGGGGTCGGCACTCACTTACCCATCGAATTTGTCGACGCGTACAAGATCGGCAAGCGTTGCAGCGCAGCACATGGGTCCATGAACAGATACTGCGGACAGAGAGCAAATGCCTGACTATGCGAGAGTGGAGCGGGCGCCAGTATGCCTATTGGCCGATGTTTAATGGGTCCTGGGATCGGCCAGCGAGGCGGTGGAATCGGGTCACCGAATCGTATTTGACCGCGATCATGATGGAAGGCCGCGCATTTACGTCGAGCGCATAGCCAGCGGCAAGGACGGCGATGCATATCTGGTATTTTTCAACTCGCGGTCAAGGTCCCCGAAGGCGATGGGGCGGGCGCCGTTCGCGTGCATGAAGTTCCAGGGGGCGGGGGTCCGAGGGATTTACGAGGCCGGGGGCCTTCGAGGCCGAGCTTCCGTTGAACGGTCAGCCGCCCGTGAGACCCAGCGACGTAGACGGAGCCAGTGCATTTTGCGATGGTGACAGGAGTGAAAGCGGGGACAGCGAGCCGAATGACGCATAAGATGCGTTTATCGGCCTGGAGGCCGAGTGACCCAGGAAAGTCCAGCGCAGCGTGCGACCATGTGAAGAAGAAGAACTGGGGAGGCACAGCGCCAATCGTTTGCCTCGCCGTAGCTGGCGCCCCCGCTGCGTCGGAGGAAAAGCCGGGCAAAGAAACCGCTGCGAGATGCAGCGGAATCAAGGAAAAGGAGTACCAGATGTATCAATGGATTCAGGGCGGAGAGAGGTGTTGCCCATTGTAGTGATGCGTTGTAGAGAAACCAAGTTTATATATGGCCGCGCGTTGCTAGAGAAGGGCGTGGCCTCGGCGCGGCGAAGGCAGCCCGTGACATGATCGGCTTCACTGGGCGCGAGAAAGTGGTGTTCAAAAGTGATGGAAAATCGTTTATTACTGCCCAAAGACGCTAGTAGAACATCCGGTATCTTAGAGATGGGGCTGGAAGTTCGCCCAGTCGGTTATTCTCAGGCCAGTGGTGATGTTGGGCGTGCTATCCGTACCGTGCAGGGCCAAGCAGGAACAGTAAAGCGCGGGCTATGTAGGCCCATGACAAGACGGAGCTCGGCGTGAACCGTGCTATCATGGTTTGGCTGGTGGCATACGCAGCATGTGCAATTGCAAGTTCACGATCAGCATCGACGACAGGACGGCGCATTAAAGACGTCGGGGCAGAACGTTTAACAAGACATTGCCCGAATTTGGTGAGTGCGTTGCGCATTTCAGAACTCCTCTCCTCAATGGACGAGAGAAGATGGAATCAAAGTGGGCAGGCTGTATTTGCCTGGGCACGCATGACAGAGCACGCATGACAAAAGTCATGATCTAATCATTGACTCCCCACCGGGGGTTGTTATAGGAGGAGGAGGAGGAGGAGGAGGAGGAGGAGGAGGAGGAGGAGGAGGAGCAGGAGCAGGAGCAGGAGCAGGAGGAGGAGGAGGAGGAGGAGGAGGAGGAGGACGAGGAGGAGGAGGAGGAGGAGGAAGAGGAAGGGGGGGGCACGCGCCCGTCACAGCACGCTGACCTGCAGGGTGGGGCGGCCAGGCCTGTCGTGCCACTCGCGCCGATGCTTCGCGGGCGCCACGGTTCTGTGTCCCCCCACCACCACACGTTGGTTTGCAGCGTGACCCACGTGGGCACGTGGGCGCCTGAGCACGTGGTTCTGTATCCCCGCCCCCCACGTGGGCACGTGGGCGCGCCGACTTGCAGGACGGGGCGGCCAGCGGGCAGGCCCGTCGTCTTGCTTGCGCGGCTGCTTCCTGGGTCCACTGCGGGAGGGGAGCAGGGACGACAGGGGGGTCGGCGCCGGGCCCCTTTGGAGGTCGGCGCCCTCCTTTTCCTCCTCCTTATCCTCCTGGTTCCTCCTCCTCCACCTCCTCTTTCCCCTCCTGTTTCCTCGTCGTCGTCGTCCTCCTCCTCCTCCTCCTGTTTCTCCTCCTCCTCCTCCTCCTCCTCCTTCGCCTCCAGAGTCCTTGTCGTCTACCTCCTCTTCCTCCTTCTTCTCCTCTTCTCCTCTTCTCCTCTTCTCCTCTTCTCCTCTTCTCCTCTTCTCCTCCTCCTCCTCCTTCTCTTTCCCCTCCTCTGTCCTCCTCGTCCTCTTTCTTCTCCTCCTCATTTCTTGTCCACCTCCTTTTCCTCCTCTTCCTCTTGCTCTTTCCCCCTCTTCGTCCTCCTCCTCCTCCTCCTCCTCCTCCTCTTTTCTCCTCCTCCTCTTCCTCCTCCTCCTCCTCCTCCTCCTCCTCCTCTTTCTTGTTCTCTTTCTTCACGCGTCCACCCCGTTTCTGTTGCGCGGACCCTGGCAACCTCCCCCCCCCCCTCGTTGCGCGCGCGCGCGCCGCGGCAGCGGCCGGCGGCCGGCGCAGGACATCTGCTACGTGGTGGAGGCGGATGCGGGCCGTGAGGTGCAGCTGCTGTCCCGCTCGTGTCCTTTGACGCACCCTCCTTCCCCTCATCCCGAAGAAGAAAAACGGCACATGGCCGGGCCGAGGTATAAGGTTGAGGTCGGCTCGGGGAGGGTACCCCAGTGTTCGTCGTGCTTGTCGTATGTTTTTGTGTGCATCCTGGGGCAGGGGTGCCCTCGAGTGATGTTATGTTTTGGGGTGTATTGCGGCGGAGAGTCTCATGTACTCGAAGGGTATTCTTCTGTCTTAGGTCCAGCCGCAAACAGAAACTTTCGCAGCTCTGCGCGGATTTCCTGGATCGGCGCTGGGCCCCCTGGCTCCGCCTCGGGCGCCAGCCCTGGCGAGCACCGCGCGCCAGGGAGGGGGGTCCAGCGCAGATCCTAGAGAGCCGCGCGGACCGTTGAAAATTTTTATTTACGACGGTTTTTCATTTTCCATCCTGAGCGGCCGCTCTCTTCTGTTCCTCGCTGCAATGTGCGCAGTTCGCCTAGCAGTGCCCCCGCCTAGTCTACAGACGCGGTGCGCGATCGCCATCTCCGCGGCCACAAGCGTCTTTCGACGCGCGGGGATTTGTCTTTGGGTGCATGTCTTTCGACGAATGGGGCTTTCCGACGCGGTGAGGTGCGGCTTCGTGCCACGTCGTGCGACCCAGAGCGCACGACGACATCCCGCAGTTGTCTCTCGCCGCAGGGGTGACTGAGTGATCGTATGCTCGAGGCCGCGGATCGCCTTGAAGTCAACGTTGCTTTTTGGTGGCACTGGCAGCAGCAGTTGCAGTGGCAGGAAAACGATCACCAGCAGAAACAGTTGTGGTAGCAGAGGTGCTAGTAGCAGGAGCGCTCGATGATGATGATACTGAACATGATGATGATGCTAATGATGATGATGGTGCTGCTGCTGATGATGATTATGCTGATGAGATGACGGTGACCATGACGATGAATATGATGCTGATGATTCTGATGATGACTATGCTGATGATGCTGATGGTGATCATGCTGATGATGATTATGCCAATGATGATGATGATGATGCTGATGATGATGATGCTGATGCTGATGCTGATACTGATGATGTTGATGATGCTGATGACGGCGACGCTACTGATGGTGATGGTGGTGGTGATGATGATGCTGATACTGATGATGATTCTGATGATGATGATGCTGATGATGATGAGAATGCAGATGATGATGATGATGATGATGATGATGATGATGATTATGATGATGATGATGATGATGATGATGATGCTGATGATGATGATGATGGTGATGATGATGATGATGAGGCGGAGGAGGAGGAGGAGGAGGATGTGATGGTGATGGTGATGGTGATGGTGATGGTGGTGGTGGTGATGCTGATGCTGATGCTGATGCTGATGCTGATGCTGATGCTGATGCTGATGCTGATGCTGATGCTGATGCTGATGCTGATGCTGATGCTGATGATGCTGATGAATGATGATGATGATGATGATGATGATGATGATGATGATGATGATGATGATGATGATGAGGCTGCTGCTGCTGCTGCTGCTGCTGCTGCTGCTGCTGCTGCTGGTGGTGGGTGGGTTGGTGGTGGTGGTGGTGTGGTGTGTGGTGAGGAGGAGGAGAGGAGGAGGAGGAGGGAGAGGAGGAGGAGGGTGGCGGTGGTGGTGGTGGTGCTGTTGCTGATTATGACGACGACGACGACGACGACTACGACGACGATGACGACGATGTTGATGTGAGCGGCCCGCGCTCCGCGCGGGTCCCTAGGACAGCGAGACACCGTCTGGCCCCAAAAGGGCCATGCCTCGCGACAGCCGCCCACCTGGGCACCCCTCCTCTTGGCGCCGTTCGGACGTTCGCAGTTTTCTCGGCGCGGCCAGCTCCAGGAGCATCTTGGAGCCTCTTGCGGACGAGGAGCCGCACGAAGCCGAAAACGCCCACGGGGAATGCACGCCCGAGCGATGGCAGGTCGTCGGCCCCCGCGGCCAAGCCCAGGGCCGCGGGGTGAAGCTCCCAGCCCTCCGAGCCGAGTGCAGCCCTGGCGACACGGGAGCCCAGCGGTTGGCAAAACACGACGCGCGTCCCCGAGGGTACTCCAGATTTCGTAATAAAGGGAGGGGGGTCTCACTTCGGGGGGGGTCTCTTCCAGGCTACCTTGGAGGGCCTGGGGGGGTCTGGGGACGATGTTTTGGAGGGTTCTCCCACGGGGGAGGTCTGAAATGGCTTGTCTTGGAGGGTCTAGGTCCCCTCCCTTTTAGTACGAAATCTGGAGTAACCGCAAGCGGGTCTCACCCCCCGGGCACCTCAAGCCTGCTGCACAGGAAGGGCTTTTCAGGCCGGCTCAGCGCTACTTCCGGCCCCCGTCGAATGTGCCCTTGCTGAGCGGCGGGATCCCGCAAAACCGCGATGGGCCGCACCAGATGATCTTTGTGCAATCCACATGCGCAGCCACGATCTCCTCGATCCAGAGGATGATGACGGCGACGATGACGATGATGACGACGATGAATGAGGCTTGCTACTTCTGCTGCTGATGATCAATTCTCACACTCGTGATACGTAGATCTAGTTCAGTAGTAGATAAAGTGGCAGCAGCCGTAGAGACTAGAGCAGTCACCATATGAGCTGTCGTCATTGTTGTTTCAGCGGTAATCGTGTGAGCAGCGATTGTGGTGACAGTTGTATTGAATGACGGTGGTGTTGTCAGGCATGCCGCATATTGTGCTTAAAGATATGGTGGACAGACTGCATCTGTTCGCTCCCGTGGGAACTCGACCGGATCATGTCGCGTGGTCGTCGTGGCTACCGCCAGGACGCTGACGTGTGGACCACTCTGGGCTCCCCAGAGCTGGATCGTGGCACCTCTTCGTGGCCGAGGCGCGACGCGGCCAGGAAAGCCCCTCCGCTCCTTACCTTGGCGTTCCCTGCGGCAGCACGATGGCTGCAGAGCCGCAGGACCTCCAGGGGCTTCCTGGAGCGGCCGCGGCTGGCCTGCCGCAGCGACCGCGGGCCGCAAGTGCGCCTCCGCCCGGCCACGCCCAGGGCGCCTCGCGGCCTCGCGGCACGACAGCTGCGCCGCCTCGGCACTTGCCTTGGGGGGGGGCAGCGGTGTGCCGCTCGCTCTCTCTCCTCCCCGCCCGCTCCCCATTCGTCTTCCTCCTCCTCGTCCTGCTCGTCCTGCTCGCCTCCTCCTCCTCCTCCTCCTCCTCCTCCTCCTCCTCCTCCTCCTCCTCCCCTCCTCCTCCTCCTCCTCCTCCTCCTCCTCCTCCTCCTCCTCCTCCTCCCCTTCTCCTCCTCCCCTTCCTCCTCGTCCCCACCTTTCGTCCGGCATCATGGGAGGCTCCCCCGCCGCTCTCTCAGGAGGTGCTCCCTCCCGGTTCGGCCGTCTCCGTGGCTCGGCTGGCAGTAGCCAGGTGCCTCGCCGGTCTGGGGAGTCGAGCGTCAGGGTTGGCGTAGGCCGAGGCGGCGGGCCAGAGGCGGGGGAGGCAGGAATCCTCCTCCTCCTCCTCCTCCTCCTCCTCCTCCTCCTCGTGGGCCAGAGGGCACCAGCTATCTACCTGCACCCCTCCTCGCCAGGCCGATCCTGCGCCCAGGATCGGCGTGTGGTGCCTTCGGCCGAAGCCGGGAGGGCCCAGGGTGGTCTTGGCCAGGGCCGCGCAACAGAAACGGGGTGGACGCTTGAAGATAGAGAACGAGAAAGAGGAGGAGGAGGAAGAGGAGACGGAGGAAAGAGGAGGAAGAGGAGGACGAAGAGGGGGAAAGAGCAAGAGGAGGAGGAGGAGGAGGAGGAGGAGGAGGAGGAGGAGGAGAAGGAACAGAAGCTGGCGGCCTTTCTAATGTGGACCTTTGGGCGGCCCCACCCGCAGAGTGCGTAGACTGGGCGAAGGGGCGGCGGATCATGAGGAATGACTGCTGGGATGGCTCCCGCTGCCTCTCTTGCTCGCCCCCCCCCCCCCCCCACCTGCCCCCAACCCTCTCCTGCGCCCCCCCCCCTTCTCCATCTCTCCACGTCTCCCTCGCTCCCCCCTCCCCTCCACTCCCTCCCCTCCCCCCCTCTCCTCTCTTTGCCTCCACTCCGCCCACCGCCCACCCCCAAGGGGGATGGTTGGAGAAAGGAGTAGGAGGGTGACGACGATGACGAGACGATGATGTTGGTGGTAACGATGGCCATAACAATGATGGGTATGATGATGTCGATGGTGATGGCCTTGGTGATGCATAGGGTAATGATGCGATAGTAATTAGGACGATTGTGGTTATGATGGTGACCATGATTACGTCGATCACGGCGACGACGATGATGCTGCTGATGGTATTGATGGTGTTGATGCTCATGATGTCCGTGCTGTTGTTTGTGATGATGCAGGTGTTGATGATGATGCTGATGACGATGATTCTGAGGCTGAGGCTGATGTTGAGGATGATGCTCATGATATGATGGTGATGGTGATGATGACGATGATGCTGATGATGACAATGGTGATGCTGCTGATGATGATGGTGGTAGTGGTGATGATGCTGATGATGCTGCTGCTGATGATGATGATGATGATGATGATGATACTGATGATGCTGCTGCTGATGATGATGATAATCATGACGACGACGATGATGATGATGGTGACGACGATGATGATGCTGATGACGATGCTTATGCAGACGAAAAATATACTACTTCGAAGTTACTTCGATAATGATGAAGATGATGACTATGATGATGATGATAATGATGATGATGATGATGACGGTGATTGTGATGATGATGATGATGATGGTGATGATGATGATGATAGTGATGATGATGATGATGATGATGATGATGATGATGATGATTATGATGATGCGGATGCTGCTGCTGATGATGATGGTGATGCGGATGCTGTTTATGATGATGATGCTGATGATGACAATGATTGTGATGATGATGGTGATGATGGTGATGATGATGATGCTGCTGATGATGAAACTGATGATGCTGATGATGATTGTGAGGATGGACGTCGAAGTTGATGGTGCCCACTTCTCATGTTTAAAGAATGAATTTGGTGGATCCCCCCTCCGGTGCCCAATGTGTTTATATGTGTTTTTCAATTGAAGTCCCCCTCCTGTGGCTTTTTCTTTACAAGGGAGGGTCTTGGGCCTCACACGGTGTTGATGGACCCCGAGCGACAACAACAGCAGCTCCCGCCTGATACGTCCTCACGATTTTCTCCAAATAGGCTTGCCCTATAGGAGTCCTAGCTCATCATAAGTAATTGGTGTTTAGCACCCCCCCAGGTTTTTCCAATGGCCCCCCCCCTTTTTCCAATGGCACCTCCCCTTTTTTCCACTGGCATTTGCTTGCTTGCTCTTGCGTGCTTGCTCTCGCTTGCTTGCTCTTGCTTGCCCTTGGTTGCTTGCGCTTGATCGCTGGCTCTTGCTTGCTTGTTATTGCTCGCTTGAGCTTGCTTGCTTCCGCTTGCTTGCTTGCGCTTGCTTGCTTGCGATTGCTTGATTTTGCTGCTCCCTTTATCTTCCCGTCCTGCTCCCGTCCTCCTTTCGTCTTCCTCCCATCCTCCTCTCGTCCTCCTCCTGTCCTACTATCTATTTGGAGTCAACGCTGGCTGATATGTCCAGAATCTCGCTGTCGCGCGGAAATTTCTCACAATTTATCTAGGAATCGTGCTGTCGCGGTGGACTTCCTCGCCATCGATTGAGACGCCGCGCCCTCGACACTCAGGACTCACGCCTCGCTCTGGACTTCTCCATCATTTATTTGGGAATCGCGCCATCGCTCGAGACCTCGCGATTCATGCAGTTGACGCTTCAGCGAAGCGCCCGCTGGACCGCTCGACCTGGCCGTCTGGGCCCGCCCGCCCGAACCGCCGGTCAGGGTCCGCCCGCCTGACGCGCCCGTCTTCTGCCACTCGTTCTCCTGCTCCAGGCCCCCTTCCTGCTAGCCTCTCTCGTGCTCCATCCTTCTCCGTCCCTCGGAGGTGGATAGACCTCCTACCCTGACACGTCGAGTAAGGAATTGGCCGTTTTCGGCTCGCGAGAGGGCGTCGCGGCCGTCATTTTTGCGGGTCCAGGTCCGTCGATTTCGGTCCCAGGCAAGCCCCCTTCTTGCTAGCCTTAAGTCGGGCCTGTCCCTCTACAGGAGGGATATTCGAAAATTGTCAAAAAAAAACAGTCTGGGCACTATTTGTTTTGAGTAGGTTCGAGCATGTTTTGAGCATTTTTGGGGTATTTGTAATTTTTCCTCCCAAATCCCCCTGTAGGGGGACAGGCCAGACTTAATGCTAGCCTCTCTCGTGCTCTATCCTTCTCCGTCCCTTCCCCTGCTTTAAGGGGCTGGGCCAACTGCACGTGGCGGGTAACGGAGACATATCCCAAGGTGGGTACGGTCGGAGTCGCAGAGGGTGCATGTCGAGGGGGTTGGGACGCACATGGCGGACGATTATGAGCAGGTAAGAGCAAACAGTCTCGACATGATGGATGCTGTAATAGATGACGAAAATGATGAGGATGAGGATGAAGATGAGGATGATGATGATGATGATGATGATGATGATGATGATGATGATTGATGATGATGATGATGATGATGATGATGATGATGATGATGATGATGATGATGATGATGATGCTGATGCTGATGATGATGAGGAGGATGATGATGATGTTGATGATGATGATACTGATGCTGATGCTGATGCTGATGCTGCTGATGATGGTGATGGTTCTGCTGATGATGTTCTATGGTGCTGGTGATGATGGTGAGGATTACGATAATAGTGATGATGCTGCTTATGATGAGGAGGATTGTCATGATAGTGATGATGATGGGGTGGTGTTGTTAATTATGATGAAGATGATGATGTTGCTACTGATGATGATGATGCTAATGATGGTGATGATGATGATAATAATGATGATGCTGATGCTGGTGGTGTTGCTGATGATGATGATGGAAGTGGTGATGATGATGAGGATGCTGATGCCGATGGTGATGATGGCGATAGTAATGATGATGCTGATGACGATGCTGCTGCTGCTTCTGATGATGATGCTGATGATGATGATGATGATGGTGGTGGCTGTTGTGCTGCTGTTGATGCTGCTGCTGCCGATGATGAATATGATGACTATGATGCTGATGATGATGCTGATGATGCTGATGATGCTGATGATGATGCTGATGATTTTGATGATGCTGATGTTGATGATGATGATGATGATGATGGTGGTTGTGGTTGTGGTGCTGCTGATGATGCTTCTGCTGCCGATGATGCGTCTGCTGCCGATGATGATGATGATGATGATGATGATGATGATGATGCTGATGATGATGCTGATGCTGATGATGACGACGACGATGATGATAAAGCTGATGATGATGCTGATGATGGTGATGGTGATGGTGATGGTGATGGTGATGATGATGATGATGATGATGATGATGATGGTGATGATGCTGATGATGATGATGATGATGATGATGATGATGATGATGATGATGATGATGGTGATGATGCTGATGATGTGCCTTCTTCTACTCATCCTCCCCATGCCGCGACAGGTGCAGTTCTGCCCCATCCGTGGCCTGCCCATCACGCGCGGCTGCCGGGTGCGGACCCTGCCAGGGCGACCGCGCCGCCCGACGCTCTCCCTGCGAGCACACGGAGCGGGGAGGAGGAAAGGGAGCTAGGTTGAAGTCGGGCATGTCAGTCTACAGGAGGAAAACGCAAGAATAGTCAAATTAAAGTCTGGGGACGTTTGTTAATGCTGTTTTTTTTGTGGGTATGTGTTACTCCTATACATTTGTGTTCCAAAATCCGCCTGTAGAAGGACGTGCCCGACCTAAAGCTAGGTTACCCGCGCATGCGCGAACTAGTTGCGCTTTTCGCGTCTCGGTCTGGACTAGAGAGCTTCTCTTCTCCGGGGGGGGGGGGGGGCGGCGTGGGTGTGTTGGGGGGCGCAGATACATGCATGTCGCGCACCGCGGGATGCGATGCGCGAATATGGGAATCTTGAATGTTGCATGATTTTGCTAGACGGGGAGGGAGACAGAGATAGAGACAGAGACAGTACTAGCAGTACTAGGAGTAGTAGTAGTAGTAGTAGTAGTAGTAGTAGTAGTAGTAGTAGTAGTAGTAGTAGTAGTAGTAGTAGTAGTAGTAGTGGTAGTCGTAGTGGTAGCACTAATCGTAGCAGCGGTAGTGGTAGTGGTAGTGGTAGTAGTAGCCGTCGTCGTAGCAGTAGTAGTAGTAGTAGTCGTAGTAGTAGTAGTATTAGTAGTAGTAGTAGTAGTAGTAGTAGTAGTAGTAGTAGTAGTAGTAGAAGTAGTAGCCGTAGTAGTAGTAGTAGTAGTAGTAGTAGTAGTAGTAGTAGTAGTAGTCGTCGTCGCAGTAGTGTTGCAGTAGTAGTAGTAGTAGTAGTAGCAGTAGTATTAGTAGTAGTCGCCGTCGTCGCCGTCGTCGTAGTAGTCGTTGTAGTAGTAGTAGTAGTAGTAGTAGTAGTAGTAGTAGTAGTAGTAGTAGTAGTAGTAGTAGTAGTAGTAGTAGTAGTAGTAGTAGTAGTAGTAGTAGTAGTAGTAGTAGTCGTAGTCGTAGTAGTAGTAGTCGTAGTAGTAGTAGTAGTAGTAGTAGTAGTAGTAGTAGTAGTGGTAGTAGTAGTAGTAGTAGTAGTGTAGTGTAGGTAGTAGTAGTAGTAGTAGTAGTAGTTAGTAGTAGTAGTAGTAGTAGTAGTGTAGATAGAGTAGTAGTGTAGTAGTAGTAGGTGGGTGGTGGTGGTGTGGTGGTGTGTGGTGAGTGGTTGTGGTATAGTAGTAGTGGTGGTAGCCGTGTAGTGTAGTCGTAGTAGTACTAGTAGTAGTAGTAGTAGTTAGTAGTAGTAGTTAGGTAGTAGTTAGTCGTGGTGTGGTGTGGTGGTGGTGGTGGTGGTTGGTTGGTGTGTAGTAGGAGTAGTGGTGGTAGCGTAGTAGTCGTAGTCGTAGTCGTACTAGTAGTAGTAGTAGTAGTAGTAGTAGTAGTAGTAGTAGTAGGAGTAGTAGTAGTTGCAGCAGCTGAAGCGTCGCAGTAGTATAGTAGTAATAGCCGCGGCAGTAGTAGTAGTAGTAGTAGTATGGTAGTAGTAGTAGTAGTAGTAGTAGTAGTAGTAATAGCAGAAGTAATAGTAGCTGTAATAGTAGTCGTAGTGGTAAAGTAGTAGTAGTATAGTAGTAGTAGCAGTAGTAATATAGTAGTAGTAGTAGTAGTAGTAGAGTATAGTAGTATTAGTAGTAGTTAAAGTGTAGTATAAGTTAGTAGTAGTAGTAGTCGTCGTCGTCGTCGTCGTTCGTAGTAGTAAGTAGTATAGTAAGTAGTAGTAGTAGTTAGTAGTACTAGTATAGTAGTAGCAGTAGTAGTAGTAGTAGTAGTAGCAGTAGTCGTAGTAGTAGTAGTAGTAGTAGTAGTAGTAGTAGTAGTAGTAGTAGTAGTAGTAGTAGTAGTAGTAGCCGTCGTCGTAGCAGTAGTAGTAGTAGTAGTAGTAGTAGTCGTAGAAGCAGAAGAAGAAGACAAATTAGTAGAAGTAGTAGTACGACGTCTACTCAGGCACAACTCAGACGAGGAAAGCGATGAGGGCGGCCTCAGGCAGAGCGTGCCAGTGGCCCAGGGGCAGTGCCTTGCTCGACGGCAAGACGCCCGCCCCACACACACACCGTGATTGCCGCTGCCGACGCGTAGAGCTCACTGGCGAAGAGACCGCCCGCGATTTCTGCCCTCCTTCACCGCACACCCCCTTCCCTTCCCCCCCCTCCTGCCTCCTCATGCCGTCCCTGCTCCTCCTCCTCCTTCTCCTCCTGCTCCTGCTCTTGCTCCTCCTCCTCCTCCTCCTCCCTTCCTCATCGTCATCCGTCGCCCTCCATTCTCATCCTCCATCATCCTACTCCTTCTCCTCCTCCTCCTCCGCCATCCTCCTCCATCTCCTCCTCCTCCTCCTAATCCTCCTCCTCCAATCCTCCTCCTCCTCCTCCTCCTTCTCCTCCTCCAAAAAAATCCTCCTCCTCCCCCTCCCCTCCCCTCTCCTCCCCCTCCTCCTCCTTCACCTCCTCCTCCTTCCATCTTCTTCCATCCTCCTCCCTCTCCCCTCCTCCTCCTCCTCCTCCTCCTCCTCCTCCTCCTCCTCCTCCTCCTCCTCCGCCTTCTCCGCGCTGTGCCACGGGACTCACTCCCTGTCTGAAATGAATGGCGTGCTGTTTTGCACTGTGTGTGGCAGTTTTTGCGTCTCGAGTGCGAGAAAATGAAAGGCCGAGTGCCAGCCCCCGACCAAAAAGGGTCTGGAGGTGCTGGCCCGACTGGAACGAGGGCTCCCGCCAAAGTCGGGAATGGCTTTCCCTCGGTGATGTGGCAACAGGCGGCCAGGCTAGCACCTGAGAGCCGCGTTCACGCCATAGCGCCACAGCTCCTCCGCCTCATCCTCAATCCTCCTCCTCCTCCTCCTCCTCCTCTTCCTCCTCCTCCTCCTCCTCCTCCTCCTCCTCCTCCTCCTCCTCCTCCTCCTCCTCCTCCTCCTCCTCCTCCTCCTCTTCCTCCCCCTTCCCTTCCCTTCCCAGCCCCTAGCGTCGCGTCGCTGCTGGCGCAGGTACCACCTCCTCTCCCTGGACGCCGGCAAGGAGGCGCTGGCCAGAGGCCCCCTCCGCGACCTTATTTCCGGCCCGGGCAGCGAGGCGTTCTGGAAGGGGGCGGGGCATTCCGAGTCCAGTGTCTGGGCAGCAGGAGGAGCAAGAGGAGGATAAGGATGAGGATGAGGAGGAGGAGGAGGATGAGGACGCGGAGGAGGAGGAGGAGGAGGAGGAGGAGAGGAGGAGGACGAATAGGAGGAGTAGGATGATGATGATGATGATAGATGATGATGAATGTGATGGATGATGATGATGATGATGATGATGATGATGATGATGATGATGATGATGATGATGATGATGATGATGATGATGATGATGATGATGATTGATGATGATGATGATGATGATGATGAGGGGAGGAGGAGGAGGAGGAGGAGGAGGGGGGGGAGGAGATGAGAAGGAGAAAGAGGAGAGAGGAGCGAAGGAGTGAAGGAGGAGGAGGAGGAGGAGGAGGAGGAGGAGGAGGAGGCGACGGATGATGATGATGATGAAGATGATGATGATGATGATGCTGATGATGATGATGATGATGATGATGATGATGATGATGATGATGATGATGATGATGATGATGATGATGATGATGATGATGATGAGCAGGAGGAGGAAGAGCGAATGAGCGAGGGGAGGAGGCGGAGGAGGAGGAAGAGCGACGGAGCGATAGACCGATGGAGGAGGAGGAGGAGGAAGAGGAGGAGGAGGAGGAGGAGCCCCAGGCTAAACCCAAGACGCATCAACGATGTGGCAATCAATCCTCCCTCCAAGCTTTCTCTTCATGTGCTCCAAGATAAGAATGTATGTTGATTGCAGGAAGCTTGTCATTGGAAGACAGACGCCTGAGAATCCTAAACCGTGCCAGATCATCTTTTGTCGGACTTCAGCACCGCGAGTCAGCGTGACTGTTGCGTTCAGACAATCTTTAATCACGCCAGAACATTCATGGGCTTGCAGCCATGCGAACCCTTGAAACGGTCGCATGTTTTGCAACGCGTGTGCTCGGCGCTGAGGCGAGAGCCACATTTTGAAACGGAGCAGCCCTCCATCTTTGAAACTCCTGCAACCTTCAAGACGAATGTGTGCGGCGCTGAGGCGCGAGCCACATTTTGAAAGGACCCGCCCTCCATTCGTACAGCTGCCGCAATCATTTACGACTAGTGTGCGAGGCGCTGAGGCGGGAGCCACATTTTGAAAAGAAGCCGCCCTCCACCCTAAAACTGCTGCAAACCTTTGAGACGACTGTGTGCGGCGCTGAGGCGAGAGCCACATCTTGAAACGTACCCGCCCTCCACCCTACAACTGCTGCAAACCTTTGAGACGACTGCGCGCGGCGCTGAGGCGAGAGCCGCATTTTTGAACAGGGCCCGCCCTCCACCCGCAAAGCCGTTGCAGATTTCAACCTTCAGGGCCATCAACGGTGAGGAAGTCTCAGGCGAAGCACCCAGCCCGCCCTGCTGACGCGCGCGGGCTGCGGCGGTGACCGCGCGCCTCGGCGCTCGGCGATCGTCATCGCTGCTGTCGGCGTCGTCCTCCCCCCTCCTGCCTCCTCTGACAGCTCAGCCCCATCCCCTCCGTCGCGCGCGATCCCCTCCGTGGCAGAGGGGCTCCCGTGAGGAGCCCGTCCAAGGACAGAGGGCGGGCAGCGAAAACCGAAGGCCACCTAGTTCCGGCGTCTGGACTGCCGACACGTCTGGGGGTGCGACGGGGAGTAGCGACTCACAACGACAGAGGGTGGAGGAGGAGGAGGAGGAGGAGGAGGAGGAGGAGGAGGAGGAGGAGGGAGGAGGGAGGAGGGAGGAGAGAGGAGGAGGAGGAGTAGGAGAGGAGGGAGGAGGAGGAGGGAGGGAGGGAGGGAGGAGGGAGGAGGGAGGGAGGGAGGGAGGGAGGGGGAGAGAGGAGGAGGAGGAGGAGGAGGAGGAGAGGAGGAGGGAGAGGAGAGGATGGGGAGGAGTGAGAGAGGAGGAGAGGAGGCGGAGAGGGAGGAGGAGGAGAGGAGGAGGAGGAGGAGGAGGAGGAGGAGGAGGGGAGGAGGGGGAAGTCCGCCCTCTCGCCAGGGGGTCCGTCTCAGGGTGCGGGGACGAGCCTGCAGTGGCTAGCGCCACCGAAGCACGGTGGACAGTGGGACAAGCCGGACGAGAGGCCCATAATCGAAGACGAACAGACACGCCATTAGGACGCCTATATGACAGCTGCGCCAGGACGTGTCCAAGACTGCCATTTGGACGCCATTTGGACGCCTATATACGCCCAGGGCTTGTCCGAGAAATCCTCGCCAAGAATATAAGGCATACGCTCTCGGAGCTGCGCGAGGATTTCTTGGACAAGTCCTGGGCCCGCCCCCCCAGTACCAGAAGCACGCCAGATGGGCCAATCAGATACTCACGTGGCGCTGGTGTTCGCAGAACTGGACCGTGCCGTTGCTGCCAGCACCAGGACCGGGGGGCGCCCTCACCCTTTCACCCATGATTTGCATATGCTGCTGTCGATCTCACAGCGGGCGTCCTCTGTTGAATGGCGGGGTTCTTGTCTGCCCAGTGACAGCGATTTTGGACGGAACCTGCTGGTATGCGTCGTTTCCGCCAGCATCGCCCCAAATTCGGGCATCTCAGACTAAGGCGCCGTCAACTGGGTGTTAAACCGAGAGTGCCGCAGCTGTCCTTCTTCCAGCGGGAGGACGAGGCGGAGGAGGATAAGGAGGAGTGGGAGGAGGAGGAGGAGGAGGAGGAGGAGGAGGAGGAGGAGGAGGAGGAGGAGGAAAGGAGCGGGATGAGCAGGAGGGTGGAGGAGGTGGGGGAGGCGCAGGATGAGGAGTGAATGAGGATGATGTCGGCGACGGCGACGGCGACGCCGACGGCGACGGTGACGACGGTGACGACGACGAGGGTGAGGGTGATGGTGAGGGTGAGGGTGAGGGTGAGGGTCAGGATGAGGATGAGGATGAGGATGAGGATGATGACGATGATGATGATGAAGAAGAATAATAAGATGGTGATGATGATGCTGATGATGATGATGATGATGATGATGATGATGATGATGATGATGATGATGGTGGTGGTGGTGGTGGTGGTGGGTGGGTGGTGGGTGGTGGTGGTGATGATGATGATGATGATCATGATGATGATGCTGATGATGACGACGATGCTGATGATCATGGTGGGTGTGGTGATGATGATTGTGATGTTGATTGTGATGTTAATGGTGAGGGTGATGGCGATGCTGGTGATGGTGATGGTTTTGGTGGGGTGGATGGTGCTGCTGTTGATGATGCTGCTGATGATGATGCTGCTAATGGTAATGGTGATGAAGGTGATGGTGGTGGTGATGATGTTGATGATGCTGACGACGACGATGATGATGATAATGATGATGATGATGCTGATTATGATGATGATGATGATGATGATGATGAGGATGATGATGATGATGATGGTGATGATCATGATGATGATGATGATTATGGTGGTAGATCACTGTGGTGATGGTAATGGAGATGCTGAGTCTGATGATGATGCCGAGGATGCTCGTGCTGCTGCTGGTGATGATGGCGATGGTAAAGATGATGATGGTGGTGATGGTGGTGGTGATGATAATGATGATGGCGATGATGATGATGTTGACTATTTCTGGTGATGACGATGCTGACGATGATGATGATGATGATGATGAGGATGATGATGATGATGATGATGCTGAAGATGATTGTGATTCTGATGGTGGCGATGCTGATGATGATGATGATGATGATGATGATAATGACGACGATCATGATGAGGATGATGATGCTGCTGCTGATGATGGTTGTGATGATGATGATGAGGATGAGGATGATGATGATGATGATGAGGATGATGATGATGATGATGCGGATGAGGATGAGGATGAGGATGAGGATGATGATGATGATGAGGATGATTGTGATGATGATGACAATGTGATGGTGCTGCTGATGATGCTGAGTGTGATGATGATCATGATCATGATGATGATGATTAGGAGGAGGAGGATGAGGATGAGGATGATGAGGATGAGGATGATGAGGATGAGGATGAGGATGAGGAGAAGGATGAGATGATGAGGATGAGGATGATAGGATGAGGATGATGAGGATAGGATGAGGATGAGGATGATGATGATGATGATGATGATGATGATGATGATGATGATGATGATGATGATGATGATGGTGGTGGTGGTGGTGGTGGTGGTGGTGGTGATGATGATGATGATGATGATGAGCTATACGTTGAAAAGGAACCGCCCTCCATTCTGCAAGGTGTTGCGAACTGGTCAAACACATGTGCGCGGCGCTACGGCGAGATCCACATATAACAAATGGACCGTCCTCCATCCTTGAAGCTGCTGCAAGCCTTTCAGACACATTCGTGCGACGCTGAGGCGAGAGCCACATTGTGAAGACGACCCGCCCTCCATCCTTGAAGCAGGTACAATGTTTTACGACTGTTTTACGAATGTTTGTACAGGGAGGAGTTAGTTTAAAGGGAAAGGAATGGAGTAGGAAAAAAAGGAGGAGGAAAAGGAGAAGGAGGAGGAGGAGGACGAGGAGGAGGAGGAGGACAAGGACGAAGACGAGGTCGAGGAGGAGGAGGAGGAGGAAAAGGAGGAGGAGGAGGTGGAGGAGGAGGAGGAGGACGAGGAGGAGAGGAGGAGGAGGAGAGGAGGAGTTGAGAAGGGATGAGGAGGAGGAGGAGGAGGAGGAGGAGGAGGAAGAGGAGCAGCAGCAGCAGCAGGTCGTGGCGGTGGACGGGCCTCCCCGCGGGGCTTCCCTGTCGGCCAGGCTCCTACGAGGCGTTCGGCGAGCAATTCCCGTGTCAAGGCCCGCCCGCCCACAGGTTCCTCGGGCCCTCCCCCTATGTGGACACGCAGTTGGCAGTCGTCGATCCCAGCTCGGGAAGAGGAGGAGGAGGAGGAGGAGGAGGTGGAGAAGGACAGGAAGAACAGGAGGAGGATGGGGAGGAGAAGGATGATGGGGGAGGATTGGAAGGAGGAGGAGGAGGAGGAGGAGGAAAAGGATGGTGCAGGAGGACGAGGAGGAGGCGGAGGGGGAGGAGGATGAGTCATGGAGTCGTCGAGTCATGGAGTCATGGAGTCATGGAGCCATGGAGTCATGGATCCAGGAAGTGCTCGGTGCACACCGCACGCAGGCGGGCCGAAATGGCAGGCAACCGGCCCCCCGGCCCCCCCCCTTACGGGAGGGAGCGGGCTCCAAGGCGCGCGCACCGACGAACAGGGGATACGCAGCTGCCTCGTCGCCCAGCGGCTTGCCTCCAGCCGAGAGGGCGTCATGCGTAGAGGGACGGTCGATTCACCTCGCTATTGCTCGGTACTTCCCGAGTATCAGCCCCTGTCCAATCAGCTGGAATGCGCAACTCGGCTTCTTCCCCAGGGTAAGCTGGCACCAGGCCGCCATGGAACTTGCGGGCCTCATGGCATGGCCCCGCCTCTCAACCAAATGCGCAAACCCGGTCACGGAGCGTGGCTAGCGCCACTGCCGCGGGCAAAGTGCCACGTGGTTGGTTCCAAAAGTCGCGGGCCAGTTTAGCTGCTCCCAGTCGCCGCATGCAGTCGACTCTGACGGTGTGCCCCGAGGAGTGTGTGGCGCTGACACCATGAGAACGGGTGCCAGGCCCCCACCCACGGGGATAGGAGGAGGAAGAGGAGGAGGAGGAGGAGGAGGAGGAGGAGGAGGAGGAGGAGAAGGGAAGGAGGAGGAGGAGGAGGACGAGGAGAGGAGGAGAGAGGAGGAGAAGGGAAGGAGGGAGGAGAGGAGGAAGCATAGGAGCGAGGATGAGGCAGGGAGCAGGAGGAGCAGGAGCAGGAGCAGGAGCTGGGAGCGAGCAGGACAGGAGCAGGCGAGGAGTAGGGAAGGGGAGGAGAGAAAGGGGGATATGTGATGATGATGATGAATGATTATGATGAAATGATGATGAATGATGATGATGATGATGATGATTGATGAGATGACGATGACGATGACGATGACGATGATGATGATGATGATGATGATGATGATGATGATGATGATGATGTTGCTGATGATGATGGTGGTGATGGTGATGATGCTGATGCTGCTGATGATGATGAGGAGAGGAGGAGCAGGAGGAGCAGAGCAGGAGCAAGGAGTGGGAGGCAGGAGCAGGAGCAGGAGCAGGAGGAGGAGGGAGGAGAAGGAGGAGGAGGAGGAAGGGGGATGATGATGATGATGAGGATGATGATGGATGATGATGATGATGATGATGATGATGAGTGATGATGATGATGATGATGATGATGAGGACGATGACGATGACGACGACGATGATGAGACGAATGGTGATGATGATGATGGGTGAGGTGATGTGGTGATGTGATGACGAGATGGTGCAATGATTGCGATGGTGCTGATGATGATGAGATGATGCTGAGTTGATGCAGGATGATGTTGTTGAGAATGATGATGATGGTGATGGGATGGTTGATGGTGATGATGTGATGATGATGATGATGATGTGATGATGAGATGATGAGATGATGATGATGATGATGATGATGATGGAGGAGGAGTGACGAGGAGGAGGAGGAGGAGGGAGGAGGAGGAGCAGGAGGAGCAGGAGGAGCAGGAGGAGGAAGAGGAGGAAGAGGAGGAGGAGGAGGCGGAGAAAGCGGCGGAGGAGGAGAAGGAGCAGGAGGAGGAGGACGAAGAGGAGGAGGAAGAGGAGACGGATGAGGATGAGGAGGCGGAGGCGGAGGCGGAGGCGGAGGCGGAGGAGGAGGAAGAGGAGGAAGAGGAGGAGGAGCAGGAGGAGGAGGAGGAGGAGGAAGAGGAGGAGGAGGAGGAGCAGGAGGAGGAGGAGGAAGAGGAGGCGGAGGCGGAGCAGGAAATGGGGGGGGAGGGGGAGGAGGAGGAAGAGGATGATGATGATGATGATGATGATGATGATGATGATGATGATGATGATGATGATGATGATGATGATGATGATGATGATGATGATGATGATGATGATGATGATGATGATGATGATGATGATGATGATGATGATGATGATGATGATGAGCTGATGAGGAGATGTTGATGCTGATGCTGATGCTGATGTTGATGCTGTGCTGATGCTGATGATGAGATTATGATGATGTGATGATGATGTTGATTTGTGATGATGATGTGGTGATGAGATGATGGTGATGGTGATGATGATGATGGACGAGATGATGTGAATGATGATGATATTGATGCTGCTGCTGATGATGTGACGATGATGTGGCTGATGCTGCTGTGGTGATGATGATGATGATGATGCTTGATGATGCTGGATGATGATGACGATGCCGATGTGATGATGATGATGATGATAGATGCTGATGCTGATGCTGATGCTGATGATGCTGATGATGATGTGATGAGATGCGGATTAGATGATGATGATGATGATGATGATGATGATGATGATGATGATGATGATGATGATGATGATGATGATGAGATGATGATGATGCTGATGCTGATGATGATGGTGATTTTGATGATGCTGCTGATGATGATGACGATGATGATGCTGATGATGATATGAGGATGATGGTGATGATGACGATGATGATGATGAGATGATGATGATGATGGGATGAGAGAGATGGATGATGATGATATGAGGATGATGATGATTGCTGATATGATGATGATGATGATGATGATGATGATGATGATGATTGAGATGATGAGGATGATGATGATGATGATGCTGAGATGATGATGGATGATGATGATGATGATGATGATGATGTGATGATGATGAGATGATGATGATATCATGATGAGAGGAGAGGAGAGGAGGAGGACGAGGAGGAGGAGACGGCGGCGGAGGGGAGGAGGAGAAGGTGGAGGAGAAGGAGGAGGAGGAGGAGGACTGGGGGAGGAAGGGCGGGAGGTGGGAGTGGGAGGTGAACGGCGAGGTGAGGTGGAGGGGGGCGGAGGTGGGTACGAGTGGGAGCGGGAGGGGAAGAGGACGGATAGAGTTAGGAGGCGGCAGGAGGGGGTGTGGTGATGAGGAAGAAGAGAAGGTTCGGGGGATGATTTGCGCAGCCGTCATTTGATACACCGATGAGGCGAAGGGCTTAATTTTAGCAGCGTGTTATCAAGGCACACCGATGAGATAAGCAGGAACGGACAATAATCCGAGTTCAAGAATTCTGGAATGAAGCCTTGACGTCTGGAAATCACTAGCACCGTAATCGATTCACCCAGGTTTGATGTGCAAACGCGAAGGAGTCACGAGGCGCACTTTCAATTGCAAGTGCTCGGCAGAGGTTCTATCGCTCCAAGGGGCACAAGAGGACGCCATCCAAACACCCCCCCTGGCCCCCCCCCCCGTCATTCGGGACGCGCGGGGCAGGAACGTTTTCGCAAAAGCCTCCGAAGAGGCCGCCCGCTGACGCCAGCAGGACTGACAGATGTCATGCCTTCTCCCGGAAGGCCCTCCCTTTTCCTCCTCGCTCAGTTTTCTTTTCCCTCGTCTTCCCTTCTCCCTCCCTCTCCCCCTTCCTTCCATCCCTCCCTCCCTCTCCCTCCTCTTCCCACTTTCTCTCGCCAGGATACCTCGTGCGGGCGCCCCCCTTCCGAAGGAGGGCACGGGAAATGACACAACCCGATCGTCCTTCTCCATCCTCCTCCTGTTTCTCTTGCTCCTCCTGCTCCTCGTGCTCCTCCTCCAGCTCCTGCTGCTTCTGCTCCTCCTCCTCGTCATCATCATCATGATCATCAGGATCATCATCATCATCATCATCACCATCATCATCAGCAGCATCATCATCACCATCATCGTTCATCATTCATCCATCATCATCAGCATCATCATCATCACCATCATCATCGTCAGCATCATCATCATCGTCGCCACCATCATCATCATCACCATCATCAGCAGCATCATCATCAACATCATCAGCATCGCCAGAATCGTCAACATCATCATCACAGTCACCATCAACATCATCACCATCAGCATCATCAGCATCATCATCATCAGCATCATCATCACAATCACCACCATCACCACCATCATCATCATCATCATCATGATCATCATGATCATCATGTTCATTATGATCATCTTCAACATCACCAGCATCATCATCAGCTTCATCATCATCATCACCATCACCATCATCAGCATCATCAACATCATCATCGTCATCATCAGCATCAGCATCGTCATCATCATCATCATCATCATCAGCAGCAGCAGCATCGTTCCGCCTCCTCCGCCGCCGCCGCCTCCTCGTCCCCCCCTCCGTCTACGCACTCTTCGTCGTCGTCGTCGCCATGGCCTTGCCCCTCGCCCTGGCCCCGGCCCTCGTCCTGGCCTTGGCCCTGGCCCTCGCTTCGGCGTTGGCCACGGCCGCGCGCCCGCCCACCGCGGTGACCCCGCGGAGGCCTCGAGTACCTCCACCCCGACGACAAGATCTTCACTTGCGCCGAGGAC